CCACGTCGCTCTCGTCTTCTCGGGCCAATTCGTGCGGCCCGCACCTCCCCGCGCCTCCCCGCACCTCCCCACACCTCACCACACCTCACCACACCTCACCGCACCTCCCCACACCTCCCCACACCTCCCCACACCTCCGCCCACATCTCCCCCACACCTCCCCACACCTCCCAACACCTCCCCACACCTCCCCACACCTCCCCACACCTCCCCACACCTCCGCACACCTCCGCACACCTCCTCACGACGCCCGAGCTGCCCCCCCCCCCCCCCCCCCAGGTGCGGTACGTTTCAAAGCTGCACACCTCCCTCCCGGCCGGCGTGGACGGCTGGGGCGTCGCGCCCAAGCTACTCATGTCTGCTGTTGTCGCGTCGGGCGGTGTCATCATGGCCGCCTTTCGCTACCTCAACGTGGCCGTCCTGAAGGAGGCGGACGGTTCGGTGCGAGACACTTCCGAGACACTTCCGAGACACCTCCGAGACACCTCCGAAACACCTCCGAGATACCTCCGAGATACCTCCGAGACACCTCCTCCCCCACACGACGCGGAGGGCAAGTCCCCCCCCCCCCCCCCTCCACCCCCCTGCCCACCGCCCCCCTCTGCCCACCGCCCCCCTCTGACGCGTCCGCGTCGCATCCTCAGGACGGCGCCCCCTCGCCGTCGGGCAAGCTCGCGCCAAAGAAGAAGAAGAAGCCGAGCATGTCGATTGGAGAGTCGGCGCGCCACCTCGCCTCCTGGGCTAGAAGAGCACCAGTCCCACACAGGCACCAAAGACGACGATGGTGGTGGTGATCGATAGGCGCGCCACCTAGCCTCCTCGGCGTACATTCGCTCCCTCGCGACTCTGGTCATCTGCTACGGGATGGCAATCAACCTCGTCGAGGTGGCGTGGAGATAGGGGGCGATAGGGGGAGATAGGGGGAGATAGGGGGAGATAGGGGGAGATAGGGGGAGATAGGGGGAGATATGGCAATTAACCTCGTCGAGTGTGACGATAATTAATTAATTATAATCAACCTCGTCGAGTGTGCCGATGACGCTGATGCTGATGAGGTGGTGGCTGTTGCTTAGGTGACATGGAAGAGCAAGCTCAAGCAGGCGCCGTGGCCCGCCCCGCTTACCCTCCGCTTCTCCCCGACGCCCCCTTTCAACCGTCATTATCTGTTCATTGCTTCGCCGTCCATTGTTCACAGGCCTTCCCCGACCCAAGCGCCTACTCGGCCTTCATGGGATCATTCTCGTCCGCCACCGGCGTCGCCACGCTTGCCATGATGCTCTTTGGGCGGTTCGTCTTCCGCCAGTGGGGCTGGGGCACCGCAGCAATGATCACGCCTTCGGTGCTGCTCGGGACCTCGCTCGCCTGGGGGGCTGTGAACAGCGTCTCTTCACACCTCTCGCTGTGAACAGGTGCTGCTCGGCACCGGCGTCGCCTTCTTCGCTCTCTGCCTCACAGGCAACACACCCGCCACCGCGGGCCGCCCCTTCGCCGGCGACACGCCCGCGGCACGTCACGCTCGCGACATTCTCGCGACCCCGCCGCACGCCAACCACACGCCCACCACGCGCCCGCCACCACGCCCGCCACCGCGCCCGCCACCACGCCCGCAGGCAACACCTTCGCGCCGCTCCTCTCGACGGTCGGCCTCACGCCGCTCATGCTCGCCGTCTTTGTCGGCGCGGCGCAGAACATCGTGTCGAAGGCGGCAAAGTACTCCCTCTTCGACCCGTGCAAGGAGATGGCCTACATCCCCCTCGACGCCGAGGAGAAGACCAAGGGCAAGGCCGCCGTCGACGTCATCGGCGGGCCGCTCGGCAAGTCGGGCGGGAGCCTCGTGCAGCAGCTGCTCATCTTTGGCTTCGGCTCGCTCGCCGCGTCGACGCCCTACCTCGCCGTCATCCTCGGCGGCATCATCTTCGCCTGGATGGGCGCGGCGCGCTCGCTCTCCGGCCAGTTTGACGCCGCCATGCAGCAGCAGCAGGCGGCAGAGGGCTCGCCGGAGGCGGCGGCCGACACGTCGGCAAAGGCAAAGGCGAGATGATTCGCCGCTCCCCACGGACGCTCTCCGCACGGATGAGCCTCTGTACCCTCCCCCGCCCCCTCGCCGATATGGCAGACCAAATGTCACGGTACTGAGGTGTCAGGTATGTTACCCGCGTGGCTGAGACCAGAGCTCTCGGCCGCGAGGGTGTGCGTGGCGTGTGCGTGTACGGCAGTACCCCTGTGCGTGCGTGTGCACACTCTACAGTATGGAGCAGATATGTACTCTTTTCTTTTCAATACATGCACAGTGCATCATGCCCTGGATCCTATAAACGTACCCGTGTCTGGGTGTGGAGATGCGAGTCGGTCGCCCCCCCTTGCCCCACCAGCACCAAACTTTGTGTGTGTGGAGAAATCTAGTATCCGCCCTCTCTAGCTCTACATGCAGGTCCATGCCTTTTACGTACTTGATACGGGCTATGGCCCAGGTGGGGTGGCCACCACAGTTTCAGATCTGCTCCTCAAGATAGCGCCGCAATCTTTTGATCTCCGGTTTCTTGAGTCCGAGCTCGCCGAGATCTACGTCGTCGGCCTCTCTGAGATCAGTCAGCTCAGAATATCCGGCGTCGTGCAGCACACCTGCATAAGCGGTGAGCTTAGCCTCCTCGAGAAACGCCACCATTGCACGCCCTCGAGGAGAGCTCATCGGGGAGGCGTGCACCGTTGACGCTGACTCGGCCGCTGAAATCGACATGGAGGAGCCCAATGAGCCCGCATCGCCTTGTACGGTGGCAGCGGCCGAAGCGAAGGGGGACGAGCCGTCAGTTCGAAGCGACTCTTCGATGCCGTGCGCCAGGTCGCGATCTTCAGCCGCCTGCGACCGCCCTTCCGACGCCTCGAGCACCTGCGCCAGCCCCTGCTGCGGGGCTGGGAAAGGAGCTGACGCCGTCACCGTCCCCGCCATCTCTGCCTCTGTTGCCGCTGCCGCCGCTGCTGCCGACGACATCACCGCCACCGCCTCCTCCGTCGGTGACGGTGCCGGTGCCATCGGCGTGGACGTAGCACTCGGCAGCAGCTCGAGCGCGCGCTCATCAAGCAGTCGTGCGTAGCTGCCGCGGCACGCGTGGTCGTCGATGTGCGACGTCAGCGGCGCATCTGGCCGAATCCGCAGCAGCTCCGTAGGAGATCGCTGGATCGCACCCGGAAGCGCCCGGAACTCGCCGACCGGATCGTACGTCGGGATGGCGTTGGAGATGGAAAATAGCACCCGACCCCTGCCAAAGCGGCGTGCGAGATCGACCATCATCTCGGCATTCGGCTTGAACAGGGAGCGCGGCACAATATCGTTGCCCGCCACATAGGTCGCGAAGCGCTGGCTTGCCGCCTGCACAATCTCGGGCGGGCCTCCGGCGACGGTCACGAGCGGGGCACCAAATCCGACAACGCCGGCGACCCGCTGCGAGAGAGTCGGCGCAACCATGTAGAAGGCGCACATGGCGTAGGCGCCTCCGAGCGAGTGGCCGGAGAAGTAGAGCGGCAGAGCGCCGGCGTCTGTCGTCGAGCGGGCGACCGCGGACTCCACAGCCGCGATGTGCGATCGCAAGTTGCCAGAGATGCCGGCGTGGAGCTTCAGCCCGCTGCCGGCCTCGCGAGACACACACGCAGCGTCAACCAGCCACTCGGTCGGTGCCTCGGTGCCCTTGAAGACGAGAGCCACAAAGTCGCCGTCAGCGCGGCCTGCGGTACGGAAGACTGCCCACTGCGGCACCTTCCAGGTGCTTGCACCAGCAGAGCTGAAGTGCAGCACCTCTACCTGCTCGTCGACTCTCGAGTTGTCGGCGCTCTTCAAGAAGAGCACCTCACCCGTGTCGTGTCGAGAGTATACCTCGTCGCTCAGCCGAGCCAGGAGCGCGTGCCGCGCGATCTCCTGCGCTGCAGCCGTGGGACGAGGAGCGCCACGCGGGGGCTGCGGGGGCCGCGGGCGGCTTGATGGCGCTCGTAGCGTCTGAGTCGCCTCGAGCTCCGAGCCATGGCGCCGGAGCTCAGTCGTCAGGACCGATGCCAGAAAGGCGTAGCTGTCTGTGGTTTGCCTTTGGGTATCCTCCCGTCGCTCACGCGCCGCTTCCTCTGACGGATCGGCCAGCAGCAGATCGATGTCGAGCCATCGTTTGGCACTCGAATTCAGCCGTCGCACGCGAGCACCAAGGCGCACAATGTCGATCTCTGCACCATCCGAGACCACATTACCGCTGAGGCAGTCCAGTAGCGCGACAGCATCCGACAGCAGTACCTGTCCTTGCTCGCCGGCGGCACGGATGTCAGCCTGGGAAGGCTGGAGCTGATCGGGGGGCAGGCTGGCTGCTGCCTCGATGCCATCGATCCAGCTATTGAGTTGACTGACAACAGCTGCTCTCACCTGCCGCCTCCAGGCCTCCAGCTGGCGACGAAGACCGCGCTCAAAGTCTCGGATCCACCCGCTCTTTGCCTCCTTGCACTCGCGCACCCACTCGCCAGGCAGGTCGCGTCCGGCCTCGGCCTGGTAGGCTAAGCTGCCAGCATCCACTGCCTCTTTTGCCACTGCCACCACTGCCGCCAACGGTGCCAGCGCAATGCCGCCGGCGGCAACCACTGCCGCAATGAGGGGCACCGCGCCGAAGGCAACAACCGGGAGCACAGCGCATGCAACGGCGCCCGCCAAGTTCCTCTCGACGTTAGGCGTCGTGATACTTGAGGGCACGTCGGTGATCGACGGCGTTTGCAGCTGCGAAGACGAAAGCAGCAGCGAGTGGACGGAGCCGGGAAAGTGCTTTCGAAGCAGCTCGGCCAGCTGCTCACCTGCACGCTCGAGATGGCCTCGCATCTTATTTGCCGTCATCTCCCACGCTTGGTGAGGGGCAAGCGTCTGCTGCAGCTCGGCAAAGCGCTGCTGCAGGCGAGCGGAGAGCTGATCGACGGGGTATCCCCCGGCACACATCTTCTGAAGCTCTAGGATCAGCTCCGTCAGCCCCTCCCGCATCTGGATGGCAGACTCTGCGATCGCGTCGGAGCACTCGGACTGCATCGCGTCTAGCGCCGCATCGATAGTCCCCTTAGCTGCCACGGAGGTGCGTTGCACGTCGGCACGCCACTCTGGATCATCCGCGTTTGGCCTGACTCCGCTCAGCAAGCCGTCCTGGTCGAGGAGCATGCAATGCAGCTGGGAGAGGTGCTGCGCCAGCTCCTCGCAAACCCTCCCAGCACGTCGTCTGGCCGCGTCGCGCATGACTAACTCGTCGACGGCCTTCCAGAAGTCGTCGATTCCGGACAGGCGGCGCAGGGTTTCGCGAGCAGTCGACTCGTCCTCGTCGGACGGCAGACCCGCAATATCAAGCGCAGCGCGCACTCGCGCAACGCGCGGATCGCTCGAGAGGTCGAACCAGGAGGCAGATACGAAGTGGACATCCGACGCTTGGAAGCCGGCCTGAACAAAGATGCGCCGCGCGTCCGCCATGCTCGCCTCCATGAGTGTTTGCAGGCTTTGGCCAGAGCTCTGGTCGTCCTCATCGAGCGCCTTGTACTCCGCGTCAAGCTTGGTAACGACGATAATTGGCTGGTGGCCGCTGGCCTTGATTTGCCGCAGCGCCTCTTGGAGCGGCTCGAGGCTGAGGTCGGTGAAGGAGGCGACGACGATGGGCACGTCACACTTGCGCAGGTGGCGCTCTGCGATGGCGCGTCGGCTCTCATCGGCCCCAAGCCCAGGAGCGTCGATGATGTTGTACGGCTGGCAGTCGGCGTTTGCCGTGACGCCGACCGCGATGTGATCAACCACGCTAGCAAGGGCCTTGATGCTCGCACCATCGTTGCCACGAATGGTTGCACGGGCGGGTTATGCGGCAAGCGGATGGGCGTCATCCCCTCCCCCTATGTGACGCCACCCCCCTCCAATCCGTAATTCCGTAAAATCGCGTGAAAAGGGGCTAAACAAGAAATAGTTTTGTTGTTGCGCCCCAATTCTTTTATTGGTACCTCAAGTATCGTAGTCTTTGTTAGTATCGAGGTCTCGTGAGTTTTGGCACTGATAAATTCGCGGCGTTCGCGGCGAGCCGAGCCAGGCCACGGCGCTCGGCCTGCTGAGAGAAGACCTTCCCCGACGGCAGTGACAATTTACCCGACATCAATCGTCGACGGCAAGCTCGAGAACTGCGCCTCCAAAGTCGCCCAGATTCGCCTCTCGCGGCGCGCTGAGTTAGTATCGCCGGTGCGCCAGCCGGCTCTGCTCCACAGCAGGGCATGCCTGACTGGCTCCTGCTAGCCGTGCGTCCTGGTGGCATCCATTGCCAGCTCAGGTAGCCTCAGGAGGTCGCCTCGCGCACAACTCGGCGCCGCACAGCACCGCTCCGCGTTACTACCGAGTTAGTATCGTCGACCCACAGAGACTGCTCTTCTGTAGGTGGAGCCGACAAACGCCGGCCGGGTCGGCCCCGCCGCCCCCATCGCCGCCGCCGGGGCGGCGGCGGCCTCGGCGGGCCATCCGGCGCGCCGCGCGCCCGACGGGGAGGTGTTCACCACTCCTGGCTCCTCACCCCGCCACGCCTTCGTGCAGACGCCGTGGCACCCGCCTCAGGCGCCGCTCGGACTCGGTTGACGGCCGCCCAAGTGCTTGGCTCGTGCCCAGCCGACCGGCAGGCGATGCCCACTCGCTGCTAGGCTAATCCCGGGCTGTCAAGCGGCGGTGTGGTGCCGTGAAGGGCAGCGGTGCCAAAACTACGACTATTAGTACCGTGCGGGGGCAGTGCATTTAATTCTGTCAAAAATCGAAATGTGCTCCGTGGGACGTATTGGGCTAGGATCATACGTCCGGGAGGCCCCCCATGCGTGCCGCAACGACCCACAGTTCTGGTACCACTCTCTTCACGTTCACAGCTCTTAAGTGTGCCATAACTCCGATACCTGAGGTACCCATTCTACCATTCGTTGCTGGTAGCGAGTCGACGCTGCTTGACCTGCCAGCGTCGACTCGCCCTGTTCGCAGATCTCCTCTGCTGGCGCCATGTGCCTGTCGCCGGCGCTGCAGAGCGGCGAGGACATCGTCAGCCACCAGCTCGAGCTGCAGTCGATCTTGCACGGTGTGCACCAGCGCTACGCCGGCCGCCAAGGGCGGTACAACAAGCACGACACGGCGCGGCTCCGCTACATCAAAAACACCGCCTTCCCGGGCCTGCGCTTCGGCAAGATGGTGCCGGAGCGAGACATGGCGATGCTCAGCCCTCTCCCACCGTCGCGGATCGCCCGTCACCTCGCCTCTCCGCAGGGTCATCTCTCGCGCCGTCTGCATCTCTCTGCCGGTCGCCAGCACCCGCCACCGACTGGCTGCACCGCCACTCGCGACGCGCCACCCTCGCTCACCAGCCTGCATACGCGCTACTCCCGCCGTGCCTTTGCTGCCACATGGATCGCATGTCACTGCAAACGCGCCCGCAGCCGCGCCGTAAAGGTCTGCCTTGCTGGCTGACGATCTCACTCTCCCGCTCCTATTGCATCTGCCTCCCGCCTCCCAGCTCACATTTGACACTGCAGTAGGTGCTCCTGTCGACGCTGCCGCCGCTGCCACCGCTACTGTCACCGCTCGTTTGATAATCGACGCCACGCTTAGCGGCAGCGAGATCCGAGGTTGAGTCAACTTGCCTGGTGCGCTCTTGCGCGTGCCTTCAAGATCCACAAGTCAATTTGTACCAGAAATCCAAAGGTGGTGCAAAATGGATATCTCAAGATTGGCCTTTATTTCGCGCACCTGCTCTCCGCCGCCGCCGCTTACCTGCTGGCACGCCACCGCCCCGCGTCGCTAACTCAAGCCTCCCTGCTGCATCTTGCCACCCCTGCCACATGACTCGACCGCCGTCGCTGCTACCGCCCTCCCCGCCGCCCTCGAAGGCGCCACCAGCATTACGGCCGCCTTCATATCTCATTGATGCTGCCACCAACGCCACTTCCTCGATTCTGTGCCGCTGCAGCGGCGAGGCGCCGTCGCCACGATCGCCGCCAGCGCTGCTGATAGCCTCGGAGCGTCGCCGTGGCCGCGTTCTGGTCTGCCCACGCTTCCCTAAAACGTCTAGGACGAGCTCAGAGGCTAAGGGCGCATCATGTGGGACCATCTAGCTCTACTGGGTCCGCGACGGTGGTCGGCGCACCCCCGTCTCGAACGTGTGTGCTCTCTGTCTGTCTGTCTGTTGTTTCGGCTAAGTCGTTTTGTACCGGATTTCAATGTTAGTGGCAAAACCGCGGAGCCGAAAATGGCGTTTAATTTCGCGCACCTGCTGTCCGCCGCCTGCGGCGGCGCTCCGCGCCGCTTGGGGCGCCTGCGGCGCCCCTGGGCGCGCTGCGCGCGCCTGTTTTGGGGGGGCTACCAGCACCGAAAAAGTGCCCTTTTATTTACCTCCTGTGCGAGAAGTTGTCGTGCGCGCGCACACACACACACAGTGAGTGCGCGCTTCCTCCTCAGCCCGCCGCCTCCGATACCGCGTTGTATGCTCGCGCCTCCGCTCTGCGTGCTTCTGGCCTCCGCCGTCTCCGGGAGGGCCACCATATCGCGGCTTGGCGTGCGTTCCCGCCCGCTGATCGCGGGCGACGGCGGCCAGGCGCCGACGAGCGAGAACGCGGTCCTGGCTGAGGGAGCGGCAGAGGCGGAGGATGGCGCGATGCTTCTGGTTCGGATGCAGTGCCCCGCGTCCGTGGACGGGCACTACTGGTCCGAGCTGCTGGTCGACGCTGGCGCGCTCTATGTCAGCCTGAGCGACGGCGGCCGCGGCACGGACGCCGAGCAGCCGATATACCACGCCCACCCGCCCGGAGAGTCGAGCGCGCAGCTGCTCGAGCGGCTCCCCGCGGAGACCACGCCGGGGCACCTGACGCCGGTCTGGTCCAACACGCAGCTCGAGGTTGGCTTTGCGCCGGACGTCGACGTCGAGGCGACCCTCCTCCTCGCGGCCGCCGTCGCGGGCGAGACTCCGCCGCGCTTCGAGGTGGAGCTGCTGGGCGCGCGTGACTGGGTGTCGCAGGTGCAGTCGGACTGGGCGCCCGTCGAGCTGGCGGGCTGTCTGCGCATCCTCTTCCCGTGGCACGCCGACAGCGCCGGCGAGGGCTCGTGCGGCGCGCTGCCACCAGCCCTGCAGCTGCAGCCGGGGATGGCGTTTGGGACGGGCGAGCACGCGACGACGCAGCTCTGCGTTCGCGGCGTGCACTCGCTGCTGGCGGGGGGGCGGCTGACCGGCTGCGACGCGATGCTCGACTTCGGCTCTGGCTCCGGCGTCGTCGCCTTTGCGGCGCTGCTCTTCGGCTGCCGCCGCGCTGTCGGCGTCGAGATCGACCCGTACGCACTCAAGGCGAGATCTAGCCGAGATATAGCCGAGATATAGCCGAGATCGACCCGTACCACTCAAGGCGAGATATAGCCGAGATATAGCCGAGATGTAGCCGAGATCGACCCGTACGCACTCAAGGCGAGATCTAGCCGAGATATAGCCGAGATATAGCCGAGATCGACCCGTACGCACTCAAGGCGTGCGTCGCTAGTGAACCGACTCACTAGCTGGCTCCTCCCAAGCGTCGCCACGGCATGCCGCTTCCGAGAGGTTTCCTGGCGGCGGGACTCGGCCGCGCCCTCTCTCACCGCCGCCGCCTGCCTCGCGCTAGGTTTCGCGCGCCAACGCCGTTGACAACGGGATGGCGGACCGGTTCGTGGCGGTGCAGCCCGCCGAGGAGGCGCCGGAGGAGTACGAGCTCGTGGTTGCAAACATCCTCGCGCGCACGCTCGTGCAGCTGCAGTCCACTCTAGACGCAGAACACGCAGGGAGTCCCAACATGGAGTTCGCATTCTTGTCAGCCAGCGCGAGAGGGACACGGACTCCGCCGTACTCCGCTGTACTCGTAGCCCGTGTATTCACGCGGTGTCGAAAGACGCTGCACTCCACCGTATTCCCGCCCTCATGTCGGCGCATTCACACCGTAGGCAGCCCACACTGTCCTCGCGCGTCGCGGCGGGAGGCACACTGCTGCTCTCGGGCATCTGGGGCGAGGCGCAGGCGGCCGAGGTGGAGGCGGCGTTCGCGCCCGACTTCGAGGGCTTTGAGCGGAGCTGGCAGGACGGGTGGGTGGTGATCAGCGCGAGGCGCAGGAGGTAAACGCACGCAAGCGACGGTTCGTCTCGTGTCCTGCACACGCCCCCCCGCTCGGATCGGTGCGTGGCGGCCGGGCGTACAACGGATGCGCGGACCGCAAAAAGGACGTAGTTCTGAGTGCATTTACGCGCGTCCCACAGAGAGATCAAAGGAGACTTCAAAGCTCGTCATGAGTGCTACTGCCGCCGCCGCCGCCGCCCACAAACTCGACCGCCGCCGCCGCGCGCTCACCGGGGTCCGTCTCGCCCGGCCCCGGGTCGAGCGCCGGCAAATGTGCGAACCATGCTCGGTATGCCTCCGCCTCCGCCTCGGCCTCCCCTCCTTCGCCCCGAGACCGGCGCAGCGCCCGCAGCAGCGGCTCCGCCTCTGGCGCGGCGCTCGTGTTGAGCAGTTGCGCGTGCAGCAGCGCGGCACGCGTCTCCTCCAGCGTGGCACGCGTCTGCTCGCGCGTCGCGGCCGCCTGCGAGGGGAGAGTTCGGAGAAACTTCGGGCAGAGTTCCGAGAGGGTTCGGGCAAGGTTCCGAGAGGGTTCGGGCAAGGTTCCGAGAGGAGAAGGTTTGTGCAGGGCCGAGAAGGGGCGCGTCTCCCCGCGCGTCAGTGGCACCTTCGCGGCGGCGCCGCACGAGAGGAGCTCCGCAACGAGGTAGCGGATCGGCGGCGGCCAGCCAGCGGACGGACCTAGAAGGTTCCTAGAAGGTTCCTAGAAGGTTCCTGGAAGGTTCCTGGAAGGTTCCTAGCCAGCCAGCGGACGGACCGCTCTGTGGCGCCTCACCCCGGCCAGCCTCAGCGAGGGAGAGCCTAGAAGGCTCCTAGAAGGTTCCTAGAAGGTTCCTGGAAGGTTCCTAGCCAGCCTCAGCGAGGGAGAGCCTACCGGGAGAGATGGGGAGACATGGGGAGACATGGGGAGACATGGGGAGACGTGGGGAGACATGGGGAGACGTGAGGAGAGCCTTTGCGAGGGAGAGAACCTCGGCAAACCTCGGAGAACCTCGGCGAATCTCGGCTCCTCACTCGCCCTTTCTCAACGGCTTCGGCGGCGGCGCTCAAAGACGCCAGCGCGCCCTCTGCAGCCGCCCCGCCGCCCGCCGCCAGCCCGGCCTCCGCGAGCCGGCGGAGCCGCGCCAGCGCAAGTGCGAGGGCCGCGAACCTGCGCACGAGGCGAGCGCCTCTGCGGCAAGGAGCGGCAGCGGCGGGGCGGCAACGGCGGGGCGGCAACGGCGGGGCGGCAGCGGTGCGCGTGGAGGAGAAGCAATCCCCGCCGTGTGTGCGTGTGCGTCGCCCGCCCCGTGTGTGCACCTCGCGTGTGCCTCACCTACCGATGCGCATCTACACGCGCGCGCACGAGAGGCCCGGCAAGGCGGAGTCGCCCAGCGAGGAGAGCTCCTCCGGCAGCCGTCCGCTCGCGGCAGAGTCATCTGCCTCCGCGACGGCGTACGCGATCGTGCGGCCGATGGCCTCGGTCGTGATGCGCCCGTCGGCCCCGCCGGCCGCCGAGCTGGAGCTGGACGACCAGCCGTACCCGTCCGCCTGCGCTGCGGGCGCGACACAGCACGGGCGCGACGATCTACCGCAGGCAAGCCCGCAAGCCTCGCCTGGCCTCAGCCACCGCGCGCCGACGCGAAAAGTGCCGACGCCGCGCGCGTTGCACCCAACCTCGACGGCGCAGTCAAAGGTGCCGTCTTGCGTGCACGCGAGGAGCGTGATTCGGCCTGTCCGGTCGCAGCCACGCAGCGCTGAGGCGGCATCGAGACCGTTTGCAAAAGTGACGAGGGCTCCCGGCCGCAGAACCGCTCGCTGCAGCCTCAGCAGCTTGCGGCCGTGGCCGCGGAGTTCGCCATCGACGAGCCGACTCCTACCTACACAGTACGTACGGTGAACCACCGACGCTAGCTGCGCGCTGTTTTCACGGCCTGTCGTCTGTTGTTTGTTGTGCCCTTGTTTGTTTCTCCCTATCACCTTGGAGTGCTGGGGGGGGCGACAGGGAGGATGTGGCCTTGAGTTATGTGTACGCCGACTCAGGGTGTGTGGCAGCCAGCTGGCTGTGTGTCTTGTGAGCTTGTTTGTGTCTGTGTGTCGCTCGAGCGTGTCGTCATCATCTGTCCAGCGTCCACCCATACCGCGTTGGTGTCCAGTCTGAGCCTGGCTGTTCTTCACCTTTCTACCTACCTACCTACCTCACGGTGCTCCGGCTGCCCCCCGGTTAAGATCTCGTGCAAACCTCTTTTTACCACCTTCAGGTACACCTCCCAGACTCCCCCAAACCGCCCAGGATGAGCTCCTGAGGTGCCAGTCCGCCCGAGATATGACCGGTTGAAGTTGGGGTTCCACGGTCGCGCAGAGCCTTGCACGCGGCTCACCACTCACACCTGCTGGGCACCAACCTTTGGGTCCAGATGACTATCCCTCTATTGAAGAGGGAAGAGGGACGCCTCACGAGCCTACGGAGGGCCTCGACCCGTCTTCTTGCTGGTCAGACCACTCTGATCCCTTCCACAGACTGGGCGGGTCGGCCCCGACTAGGGGCGGTCCCAGCCGCGCGGAGAAGGCCAGCGAGCTCGAAACACGTCGCCGCGGCCGGCCGTTTCGCAAGCCTGAGCGGGTCGCCAGACACCCGCGAGAGCCAGCAGCTAGAGCGCCGTCGAGCCGCAGATCGAGTCGAGGAGCTTGATGTCCACGGTAGCAGTTGTGGAGAGCGGTGGCACGGTGCGTGTAGACGCGTCGATTGAGGGCTCCCTATCGAAACGCGACGGGTACGGCATGACAACTGCCAGTACAGTTTTACGCCGGCCAGCGTGAGAGCACAACAGGGAGCCGGCGACCCGTACGCTTTTTGCGCGTGGCGACTGGTGGCTGTCTGGAGCTCGTGTGAGCTGGGCCGACGCGTGGCCGAGCCGAGAGGACCAGCGAGCGACCACGTTGGCGATGAAGCTTGGCGGCCGGCGCCTCGTCGCCAGACGTCACAGCGGCGTGGACGTAGGAGTGTGCGGCGACGAGTGCCGGCAAATCCGGCCCAGTGTGGCCGGCAGCTGCCTAGCGCTGGCCTGTGGCCGGCGCCGCGGTGGCGGAGAAGGCGTCTCCGTGGCGGCGGTCGGCAGGTGCGAGCGTGATGCCATCTTGCGGGACGACACCCGTCTAAAAAGAAAGAAAGAAAACAGACAACCCAAGGGAGGGATGGGAGGACGGCACGCCGCCACCACACAGGGATTTAGGAGAGGTGTGTGGTGCGCTAGCCGTCGCCCACCCTAGGGAGTCTGCCTCTTCCTATCTCTCTTCGCAGTCTCTCTCCGATTCTCGCTGCAACCTTCACAAAAAAACCCGGATGCGACTTAATAATTCTTTCGCGAGTAGAAAAGTCTCATTAGGGCAGGCATCCCTCACCGTGCGTCGGAAATGGAAGCAGGCGGCGTGTCCGTCCTCCTCGGGGTCCTCAAGACCAAGAAGACCGTAAGTGCGCCGCCCCTTCCCCTCGACCGCTCCCGGAGCAGCACCGCACTCGCGGCGTACCTCGCCGAGCCCGACCACATCCACCCCTCCCTCGGCCCGCTCTCGGTGACGAAGGGCAGCGATTTCGTCGGCGTGTGGCGGTGCACCCGCCCTCGGGGCGGGGGCGCCTGCGAGTGCGTGTGGCTCGCTGGGATCGCGCATCGGATGCGGGGCAGGTGCCCCTGCCCCGACTGCGCGGCGGCGGCGGCGGCGGTAGTGCGGTCCTCGGCCCTCGCGGCGCACGGCTCCGTCCTCCTCGGCGTGCTTCGCGTCTCGAGGGGGGAAGCCGCGCCGCCCCTTCCCCTCGACCTCTCCCGCAGCAGCTCCGCACTCGCGGCGTACCTCGCCGAGCCTGACCACATCCACCCCTCCCTCGGCCCGCTCTCGGTGACGGAGGGCAGCGGCTGCGTCGGCGTGTGGCGGTGCACGGCGCGGCGGGGCGGGCGCGCCTGCGAGTGCGTGTGGACCGCTGTGATCGCGCATCGGATGTGCGGCAACTGCGGCTGCCCCGACTGCGCGGCGGCGGCGGCGGCGGTAGTGCGGTCCTCGGCCCTCGCGGCGCACGGCTCCGTCCTCCTCGGCGTGCTTCGCGTCTCGAGGGGGGAAGCCGTGCCGCCCCTCCCCGCCGACCTCTCCCGCAGCAGCTCCGCACTCGCGGCGTACCTTGCCGAGCCTGACCACATCCACCCATCCCTCGGCCCGCTCTCGGTGACGGAGGGCAGCGGCTTCGTCGGCGTGTGGCGGTGCACGGCGCGGCGGGGCGGGCGCGCCTGCGAGTGCGTGTGGACCGCTGTGATCGTGCATCGGATGCGGGGGAGGTGCCCCTGCCCCGACTGCGCGGCGGCGGCGGCGGTAGTGCGGTCCTCGGCCCTCGCGGCGCACGGCTCCGTCCTCCTCGGCGTGCTTCGCGTCTCGAGGGGGGAAGCCGCGCCGCCCCTCCCCGCCGACCTCTCCCGCAGCAGCTCCGCACTCGCGGCGTACCTTGCCGAGCCTGACCACATCCACCCCTCCCTCGGCCCGCTCTCGGTGACGGAGGGCAGCGATTTCGCCGGCGTGTGGCGGTGCACGGCGTGGCGGGGCGGGCGCGCTTGCGAGTGCGTGTGGACCGCTGTGATCGTGCGTCGGATGTGCGGCAACTGCGGCTGCCCCGACTGCGCGGCGGCGGCGGCGGCGGCAGCGGCGGCGGAGGCAGATGCAGCGGCGGATGCTGAAGCCAAGCAGGCTCGACAGGATCGGCGCGCCGCCGACCGCGCGTGGGTCGAGGGCGCCGCCGCGCGAGCGGCCACCGCCCGCGAGGAGGAGGCGCGGCTCTCGGAGGAGATGCTGCAGCGGCATCGCGCCCAGGGCATCACTCCGATGCAGCTCGGCGAGGTGCAGCTCTGGCGCGAGGTGGAGGTGGAGGGGGGGCGGCGCACCTCGACGCACGGCGGGATCGGCCTCGGGCTGGCCCACTTCCACGACCCATCCGATGGGTGCGTCGTGCCCCCCAGCGAGATCGCTCTGTTTGGCCTCGCCATCGA